TTTGATATAAGTCTAGGTATTATCAATCTAAGTTGCACTATTAGAGTTACATTTCTACTGTCAAGATTTACTTCTGCTAAAAAGTATAGTATAAATTGAACTTGATTGATCAGTGAAGCTTTTTAGATTGATAATACTAAGGTAATTTAATTGTTATAACAAAATTGTTTAGAAAATGATGCATTCTAACAAATATTCAAATAAAATTAAAGAATTTTTTCTAACCTTAAAGCTGAGTTTGTCACATGTTTAGTTTTGATATTAGATATTTTATTTTAGTTTTTATAGCTATTTCTTCATAGATATTTATTAAATAATTCAGTAGTATTAAGTATTAATATTTATAATAGCAAGTTAATTTGCAAACCTAATAAAATTTAATTAATAATAGGACAAGATTGTGTTTAAAAATGCAACATCTGTTGATATTCTACAAGGAACATTGCAAATAATGATTGAATTTGTTGGTTTGCACAATGTTAAAGAAATTTGGTCTGTAAATGTTAGAAACTTATTACAGATCAAACATTATGTTGTTTTATTACAAAATTAGGATCATATCTGCTCTTGTCTTTCTATTATTCAAAATAGGATTGTTTGCAGGCACTTTTTTCAGATTATGTTAGCTACAAGAAATGCATATTTCTATATTAAATTAATTCTAACTTGGTGATATCATGAAAACAAAGATGGTTCAAAAGAGCAATTTTTGTAAACTGATAAGTTTGAAGAGAATCCAAGCATGATACAAGATTTAGTGATGCAGTAATATATCTGAGTACTTTTGATAGTGGAAAAGATTTTTACGAAAAAAATTTAACTATTCTTGAGCAAAAGGCAGTTTATAAAAAATTGCATGGTGTATACAAGAAAGCTCTAAATAAAGCATTGCAAAATAGTTTAAAATCACAACAACTAATCAGTTTGCTTCAAAAATTTGTTGAACAATCAGATTCAGATGAAGATTTACAAATTAATACTAATAGTGACCAAGACAAGAATTCTGTAAAATCTCAACTTCAAAATCTAAAAATGTATTATAGTAAGGGGCAACCATGTAGTACTAAGAGGTTGAAGTCTTCATATAAGTGTAATAAGCCTAAAGTTAAATATCAGTATTGTTATAAGAAATGTGATGGTATAATCCACTATTAAAAAAATTGTAAAGTGAGTTTATACTTTATTTTTTACATACTGATTAATAAGCATATTACTATAGTACAACAATTGTATAATGCTAGTTCTAAGGTTCTAAAAATATTATTTTAGAGATTACAGTTTATATTATATGAATATGTTAAAGTTATTTTTAGATAAAAATACTGCATATTAAATTTGCTGTTTAATTATACAAAAATAAATTATAAGAATTATACTTCAAAAAATCATATATTGCAAACAATAATTTTTTGCTTTAATAAATACTTTGCTTGTATAACATTTTTATTATTTGAAAAAAATATTATCTAATGCTAAGCAGTTTGATTTTTACAAATAATTCATTGCAAATATATTGTATTTATATGAAACTAGACTATTTGTGCTAAATGTATAAAATCAAATATCATGTAAAAAAAATTCCATTATAGAGATTGTTTCTTTATCACCATAGTGTTGTGTCACCAGTTATTAACTGACCAATAAAATCAATGTTTCTAAGCTTTTTTATTAACTATTCTGTCTATTTTATATAATTAGCGATATATTGCTATAGTAATAATTTATAATTTGCAATGTGCTTTTTTTTAAAAAAATTATGAAAAGTTTATGTAGCAGCAATAATGCGATCTATTTGTCATAGAGACTGGCGATATATCACTATAGCAATAAATTACTAAGTCCATAATTTTAAAGTCAATTCTACAAATTTTATATGTTTACATATAAAATTTTGAATCATAAGCTTCATAATTTTTAAAAACATCAATCCAATTTGTTCAGACCATTAAAACTCATATATTATAGAATACAAATATTGAATTTATATAATATATAAAAGGTAATATTTTTTTATTACCAAATTTTTTTTTAACGTGGTTAGTAAATTTTAATTTTTTATATATTTTACTATAAAAAAAGCATCAGGTGTTACTTTTGGGGGCTACTGTACAAGTTTATTTAACGAAAAATCGTCTAGGTTCGATCTTTAAGATCGAACCTCTTATTTATTTAAATTTTGATCATATGTGATTACATCACTTGTCTTCTACATCATACTACAATAAACTTTCAAATTACTAATACATCGCATCGAACATATAGTGTAACACAACCTTATCACTATAAATAATCACGACATTAGAGTATACTCTTGAGATCCTGCTATAGATGGGTGACGAAGCCACGTGACCTGACAAAACTATAAATTTCGTCATTTCGTCAATGACGAAACATTACGAAACATGAGTTTCGTCATTTCGTCAATGGCAAAATAATTTCGTCACCATCTATAGATCCCACCATTATAGTTTCGTGGCCTTGTGGGATCATTAGCCGACATATATTACGCCAAAATGTTATATTTAAATATAAAATGTATTACTCGACATAGGTTTCATCATAAGTTTCATCATTTGTCATAAGTTACGTCATTCGGCATGGGTTTCGTCATTCGTCATTAGTTACATCATTCGTCATTCCGTCAATTTGAAGTCACCTGACGAAACCATTTCGTCATTCGTCAATAACGAATGATTCGTCATTCATCAACCATCTTTACTACGGACGCAATATTTACGTTTTTGATACTCCTATATGCACCCCAAAATTATATACTTAGTTAGCATGCATGAATTCTGTGCCAGCAAATTCCAAAACAAACGTTCGTTTTGTCAAAAATCGCTTATTTCTCACAAATCTGCATAAAAAACCACCTTTAGTTCTCTAACAAGGGAGCCCTAATTTCCCCCGCCACTTCTGCTTGGCGGGTAAATATTGTTTCTGATTGGGTGAAGCAATTACCGAATTACATAGTCCTTACGCATCAATTCTTAGTTCGAAGGTTTTTGAACTCCAAGAGTTTAACATTATAAGAGTGAATCACAAGTTAAATCCTCTGATTTCTTTAACTTAGAACTTTGAACTCACAAGAATTAATGTTATTTCAAGGTGTTTTTAAGCCGTTTATATTCTTTTTTTACATATAATGAGATATCTGATATATCGCTAATATCTAAATCTTATTATTTTTTATTATCTCTATTATTTTCATTATCCCCGCTATCCCAGGAATAACGGTTATACCACTAATAACCAGTGTTGGCCCATGACAAGGTCATATCATTAAGTTCAATCAGTAATATGACCTTTCATGGGCCAACACTGCTAATAACTAGGATCTCAGAGAACTCTAGAATCACGGAAAGGCCACTTGCAGTTGATTCTTCGGTTAACATCATCCCCCCCCTCAGTTGAAGTCTCCCCCGAAAAATGAACAACCAATCAAAACGCTGGATAACTCTCGCCGATCACCTGATTTACATCG